AACAAAGGCAACTTTAAAAATTACTTACAAAAACCACCTTAGGGTGTTACATTGTTGTACAATTTACACATACCATTAATGGAGCTAATGGAAATCCCTCATGCAATCAAATATTACGAATTTACGATTACAAAATCACCACAGCTTATCAATTTTACAATAGCACCCCTCAAATACTCAATGATATTTCAGATTACCAAATGCCAAATGAAGCTATATGCAGTTGGCAAAAATGGTAGGCTGTAAGAAATGTTATGATATGACAAGTTTTTTTGAGTCAGCTACAGGTTGGGGCAAAATGCTGACGAAATCAAACCAAAGGGGTCGTTTGTAATTTAAAATTGTGTATATTTTGTAACAACTGCAGACTTCAGGTAGTTTTTGTACTACATAGATAAATTGAAGCCTTTCAAATCCTTGTGGTCATATTTGTTGGGATAGTGTTAGTCTAATGCATATTTCAAGAGTGCCCTCCTTTCTGTACACTAGTTAAGAGTTCTTCCACATTCCATCAATATATTGAGTGGCTTCAGTTCAACTCACTCTCCGTCACAGAATCATCACAAACAAAATCACACCACATATTGTATTATGCTTTCAAGGTGCATGTGCTAGACATCCCACTGCAATTCCTGATTAATTTCTGGGATAAGGCAACATAGAAATTGCTTTCCAGTTACCAAAACACACTGTACATGCTTTAACATCATCATGTTACCATCCAGTGTGTAAATACCACCTTCACCAAGTGCAGAGCAAGCTCATCATATGCATTCACCCAATAATACATAAGCATCAACGACCCCATTTGTTTTTTTTTTTTCTTTTCACTTCAGCAACTTTCGAACAATAATTGCAGCCAAAAATAACCAAACAAAAATTGATCGAGCTATAAACTATTAGAAGTGGGACAATAATGTTTAAATTTCCCAATATCAAGTATATTTATTAGGTGGATATATATCAGAGAATAAATTTGCTACACTAATAATTAAGTTAAGATGTTAGCTACCCAATTGTTTAGGCGAAAAAAGTAGGAATCATTCAGAGGAATTCATCTAATAAATAGATGTGGAATGTGATGCTGACAGCCATCTTATATAGATTTAGCCTCTGCAACTGAGGCCAAAGACGACAATATTAATAAGCTTTCCACACGAAAATTAAACATGCTCAAGAAGATGACGTGCACCAATTGTGTGTAATATGTATATATAGTAATTTAACAAAGTAACAGGTGCAATATGATGGTTGGCAATAGGAAATTGGATAAACCGAGGGCAAAACCTTCTAAATGAAGCACAAGTATTGTTAAATGAATAATATGAGTATAGAAAAACATATTTTATTATACACTGTATAAATAAAGTATTTACAGACAGCACAGGTTGCAACCGCATATTCACACAAAAAGATGTATGATACGACGGTGAGGTACTTTTGTCGCACTAAAGCGAAAATACAGTGCAGTAAGTTGCTTGCCCATATAACATTTAGATCCAATCACATATAATTTATACATAGCTTATCATTTCTATTGAACGCCAAAGTTGTTGACATCAGCTAACTCCTAACTTCTCTTATCTGAACCACCATTTCAGCAGTCCCATGCAAACTGCCATTTAACTCCGCGTTAAAGAGCTGAAACAGCATGCTGCAATAGTAGACAAAAAGGTAGCTGAACTTACACTAACACCGATTGCCAAGCTTCAATGGTCCCTCCAAAAAAATAAAAAGTTGATTATTTAATGCTTTTTAACAATGATGTACTGGATATGATTACATCACCAAATTAGTAGTAAATTTTGAGATTAGACTAAAGAGTTATTTATAACTGCTTTACGAAGCAAAATCATGAAATTTAGTTAAAACACTAATATATGAACTGCAAAGCAGCTTCTTGAACTGGAATGAAGATTGCAACAACACCCCCAGAGGATTTAACCACTCCTGAAAACAAGACCACACAAAGCAAAAGACCTCCAATAGGAAATGCAGCATCAAACCCAATATGATACATAACAAGCAAAAAAATATCACGTTATTGCATCTTAGAAAACCATCATAAACACAAATCAGTAAGTATAAATTTCACAGCATATATGCAACAGTGATGCATGCAGCACTCCAAAAAGCAACTATATACCATATGGCATAAGATAATAGGAATGGGAAGGTAGGCACTGTGAGCATAACACATCTCAAATAAATCAAAAGAAAGTCAACACCAAACCATTTATGACAAGCAAACTAATGCACAGTAAACTGGTGTTATGTTGGTTCTACCTTTTAACCAGTATAAAAGACCAATGGCAACAACATAGTAGCACTCAACTCAATATACTTCCACGTTAAATACCTTCAACTAATACATACACATGTGTATGTATACACACACACACACACACACACACACATATATATATCATGCTACCCAGTTTTTAGTCATGTATGACAAGGGTGAAATCTTGTTTATTTAAAATGTACAATAAGGCTGTGTTTGATTGGGCATTGTGGGAGCGATATCACACCATTTGTTATTATAACCATGTTTTTATTGTGTTTGGCTGGACTGGTTTTGGCCCTGAAAAATGAGCATGGCCCAGTTAATTATCATTCAATCTGCTTATATGTTATCCAGTCTTGTTGGTGGGATACCCTATCCAATCACTCACAAAATTAGAGTTCCTAAAATATCCCGAATTTTTCTTATCTTCTTTTTTCATCAGTTCCTCCTGATCTTCCTGAT